ATACTCAAAAACATACTTAATCAAGTAATAAAGTAAATGTGCTTAGTTACTTTCCACCACTGAAAAACATTTTTTTCTTGCTCAGATAGCTCTTCCTACAAAAAAAAAGCTATTTCTGACACTTAGCTTATTTTAAAATTCCAGTAGATAATCATGTTTGGGGGGGGGGAAAAGGAAAAACTGTTGGGATCTGGAGATCTGCCACCTTTCTCCAGCAGAGGGCGTCCCTGGGTCTCCTGAGCTGAAGCCACCAGCACACCTGCGGCTGATCATCTCATCAGGAGACAAGCTTTATAAGCAGCGGCTGAACTTCCCTTCAGTGCCAGAGTGTTAAACAGGTATGGTTAGCAAGCCTGAGCCAAACCTGTTGCCTGAATCTCTGACTGCTCTGAAAGCCAACCTGATTCTAACCTGCCTTTGTCCTCTTTACCTTCCTAGGAAGACCTTATTGACTCAGGAGCTCTGGAGGAGCTCACATTCAAAGACCTGCCTGCCATCTCTGTGAAGCCAAACCTGAAGATCAACAGTCCTTATCTGCAAGCTAGTTCTCACGAGAGAACTAGGAGATCAACTCAAGGTCTGAACCTCTCAAGTCTGAAGTCAAGCCCTGCCGCTGCTAAACCCTCTGCTGAACCCTCAGTCTCTGGACCCTTCTGGTTCCCTCTCTCCAACGCTCAGTCTGAACTACCATCAGGTACAGATCAGTTACAAGTTCTGTCAAGACTCATCTGCTACTTGGCTAATCAAACTGTCCCTCTCTACAGAGAGCCCTGTGTTTCCAGTCCCAGACCCGTTCCAGTATCAGTGCAAATAACTTTATTGTGTGAATCTCTCAATAAACAGTTGTTAACTTTTACTCTGTCTCCGTGGTGTTCTGCATTTGGGTTGAGCTCCTTAGACCCAACATGACAAAAACATTGTTAGTTCAGCAGAAAATGTGCATTCATGTTAACTTTCTATGTTGTCAGATTATCTAACTGGCCTTATTTGTCAGGTTTGGTTTAGAGATTTAGATATATACAATAGAACAGGTCTTTGAATATCTGACACTTAAGAGGTTTGTAAAGTTTTTTATATTAGAATAAATACATAAATTCAGGATCTGCAAATTATCGAGTGGTTATATGTTCCAGTTATGGTAAAAATGATGTGATTTAATTCTTAAAGTAAACAGGCCATTACCAGATTAATCTTGTCAGTGATATTCAAACCCCATGAACTGTTCCAACTTCTGTCACTTACAGCAACAATAAAGCATTTTGTTGGGACTTAACGTACACACTGATAATTGAATAATTGTTAAAGTGGAAGCAAAGTTATTATGGATTTAATATAGTTAAGTTGTTTTTATTTTCATCATCATTTAATAAAATCCAACGAGAGCAGTTAGCTTTTGATGGTAGTTCTGGGTTGATAACAGTCAGCTGTGGCATATAAAGCTCTCTCATTACAATATACTGTACCTGGCTTTACTGAATTTCTGTCACTACCGGAAGTTTTTCCCTCATACTGATTTTTACAGTTTAAAATCTGCAGTATTGTCTTTCTTTGCTTCCCAATAAAATGCACCCTTTCATTTCCAAGAAGATCAATAAATATAACAAACATTTTTCGCAAAATTCAAACTTTAACAGAATAAGCATTTTGAAAACTTGTGTTGAACAAGGTTTTGCATTTTCCTCAACTCTAATGACTTTTTAGAGCTTTGTTTGGATTTTAAAGGTCAGTGTCCGACAATTGAGTGTAGAAAGAATGGTTATGAAACCCTCTAATGATGAAAGGCAAAAAAGAAATAAAAAACAATTGTATGAAAAGCTTACACTGTTGTTTGGAAAACCATAAAATGGGCACAACGAGTCAGGAATAAAACCGCAAGGTTGCAGCACTTTTTTGAAAAATGCATTAAAAAAAAAACATATTCAGAATTTTCATATTACTTTAGAAAGTTTTAACTTTTACCAGATATAAAGGTAGCTCGAATATGCATTGATAGTGAGACTGTTTATCCAACAATCTTTAACAGCAGAGATGGTTGAAGGCTGAAATTCAAATAGGGGGCCTTTTATATCCCATTATCCAACCAGCTCAACTGATATCTATTTTGTATCCTCTTTTTTTAAATGAGCATTAGATATCTAACATAATCTTTTTTAGGGTTTAAAAGTGTAAAGCTATAAAATCAGGTCAAAGTATTGAAGATTGATTTATTAACTAAATGTGTGTTTTTTAAGTTAGGAGTTACTAACTAAAGATTCAGTTGATCCCTGTTGAGAGAAAAGCTTCGGTTTTCCATATTTTGTTTTCAGCAGTCTAAACTTCTACAGATTAGAACATAATACTGACCACAACCACACCCTCAAAGAGGAGCTGTTTGAGTATGTTCATTTTTGCTGCACTAGAATCTGGCTTTGGCTCAGCAGGTATCCCCACTCCATCCACCTACTCGCCTCTTCTGCTGTCGGTGGGGCTGCTCCTGTCAGTCTGTTTCAGCACCATGTAGCTTTTCACTGTGTGAATGGGTGAATAACTTGCGGTAGGGTGAAGCAGTAAACTTAATGAGAGTGCTTTGTGTTTGCAGGCCAATTACCATTCTGGTAAAATCCTTAGTAAAAATACATTAAAATTCGTTTTTGGTTGGTAAGGATTTCTTTTTAGATCGACACTGTTAAGAAACCTTAACTTAACCAACTTAGACATTATCTCTTCTAATTTTACTTAAACATTTTAACTTCAGTTACATCCCACCAGATTATACAGTCTTAGAGAGAAAAAGCAGAAAGAAATAATGAGATACAACAAATTTAGAAACTCCAACTACTCTTGTGATTATTTCTTAAAATATCTGCAGGTATGGTGATACTTGGAAAACTTGTTTATAAAACATTTGGGAACTACAATAAAAAAAAAAACTAAAAAAAACATCATCAATTCTTTTACGGCCAATTGAGGGACATTTTTGGCTCAGTAAAAAAGAAAAGGACACTGGAAGCTGGAAACGGGAAAGAACAGGAAACGGTCTGCATTTCCTCAGACAGGATACTGTGCTGCTTCTCCAAGAGGCATCCTGGAATCTGCTGTGTCAAATGTCATGCCAAGTTTTTGACTCAAACAAACCAACTGAGATCCACAATGCAGAAAAGGGAACAACACATATGAAGAAGCAACCTGGGGTAACAAAGCTCACTCAAAGCTGGGGTTGTTGATGATTTTTATTTCTATATTTGGTTAGCTGGCCTTTAAAATATGATTTTTCTCCCATCAGTTTAAACGCAAACATGATAATATCAGGGGCTCCTAGTCTGTGAAATAAGTGGCTTAATCAAACCCCCTGATCATTCATGGGATGAGCGATCCATGGGTTTGACCATTATTTAATCAAAGATTTAGTTGCTGCTGCACAATATTCAAGCCCTATATTAGACTGATGACTGGATTCCGCAAAATTGTGCTAGAAACATCAATCTGCTGTGATGCTATTGATGCAAATATCCACAGATTTTGGTCCATTTTGAAGAATTTGCATTCTGTTTATAGCCTGTAATAAAAATACATATTTTATTATCTGTGTACCAGAAGTTATTAGTAGAGAAAGGACACCACTGGGTTGTATCTGAAAATATAACGTTTTTAGTTGAATGCATGTCTGTGAAAACAGGGTGGAAACATTGAAATAGAAAAATTAGGTCTCCATTGATATGTGGAAGTACTTTCTTGAAAAATCTCTTGATTTCTTGATCTTTTGAAATGCTTTCATTACGTTCATTTTCCAGAAGTCTTGCATTTACCACTAATTTGACACACACACCATTTAACAGATGATGGGATATTATGATGGCTGTTATCACAAAATGTGACCATACCATAACTTAAGAGAAATGAAGCTTGGCTGACTTCCCAATTTCACTTGTCTTTCTACTCTAAAAAAAAACATATTTCATTGCAATATATGTCAAAGTTAAGCCCCAAAACTAATTGAAAATTTATATTAAAACATGAAAAGTGAAGTTCTCACATGCTCTCTAATAAAAAGTTATTTTCTAAGACAGATCATCTCAGAAAATGTCCATCGCAGTATGGACAAAGCTACAGTAGTAGAAACATAACCAAAAACATTTGTGGCTCTATAAATATATCCATTCAACCCCTTCTCGCCCATTTTCTAGACTTACTCAACATACTACATATATTCATACTTTTCTTTTAAATGTCTGTATCTTCTACGTTGTTACTAACTACTTTTCTAAAATATGTTCTATTCTTTCATCTGAGTGTTTTACATTGTTTTCCTATAAGCTTCTTTAATTGTTATTTCTGTCCGCACACATGTTTAATCTAAGCAATATTTTGTTCTGCTTTCATAATACCAAAAAAACTTGATTCTGGAAAAAAAGAAAGAAAGAAAAACATTTTTTAATGCTGAAATTAAATAAATAAATAAAAACAATTACCCGTTAACTTCACATGCAGCTACTTGTTTTGATGGTTTATCACTAACTATCCAATAAAATACTGCAGTGAAGTATTACTGAAGTAGTACTACTGAAGTTTTTAGTTGCAGAAACAAGAGCGCCTTCTAGAGTCCCAATCTTTGAATTTACAGTGATTGCGGAACCTTCTACCCCTCTCCGGTTTCCGGTAGGTGTTTTTTCCTTGTTGCACAAAACAATGTCCACGACCAGCTGAGCAGAAACATGACTTGGAGCTCAGTCAGCTTCAGTCCGTTAGATACTTTGTGGTTATGTCTGGCTCTGTGTTTCCTCGTAGCTTTTATCATTCACAAAGCCTCAACTCAGCTGCCGGTAGTGAACCGGAAGTCCACTTTGTTTATATTGTTTCAGGACCTCATTCGTTACGGAAAAACCAAGCAGAAGCTAAACCGGTCAAAGTGGTTGACAGTTTTTGACGTCCCTAAACGGTAACAGACAATTAAAAGTGCTTCATACATCCGTGAAATGTAGCTTATTTGTAGTTTACCATAAATAAGCTGGCTGTTTGAAATAAAGATAATTGATTTGCTAATAACAATATAACTCCTACCTAATCCTGTTTTGTTCATACAGGTGGTTTTGGCACTTTTATGCCATCTCTGTTTGCTGGAATGTCTTCCTTCTGCTGTTATCGTTTAACTGCATGCACCAGCTGCAGCCTTACCCATCATGGCTGACTGGGATGATGGAGATTTTAGCAGGTGTACCTGTCTTTGATGGCCACGGTAAACACACTCTGCTCTCTCAAAGCCTGTGTTTTTTGTCTGGCCCTTGCTGATGGTCCCTTCTCTGTAGCCCCGCAGCTTTCCACAGTCCTGGTGCAGCTGTTGCTGTGTGTCCACTCCCTCAGGAGGCTCCTGGAGTGTCTGTTTGTCAGTGTGTTTTCAGATGGGTCCATGCATCTGGTGCAGTATTTGTTTGGGCTGGGATATTACATTGTGCTGGGATTGACTTTGCTTTGCTCAGATAAAATGGCAAGAGGTTAGATTATCTTCAAATCCTCTTTGTATCCTGTTTTATGCCCTTCTGCTATGGTGCAAACTCTTATGCTGCTTGTTTAGGTCCCAGCACTCACCTGTATCAGCTAGATTGGATGCAGACGGCTGGATTTCTTCTCTTCATCGCAGCCTCTCTTGTGCAGCACCAGTCTATGGTCCTGTTGGCAGGGCTCCGAAAAGGAAAATCAGGTCAGTCTGTGATAGTTTATTAAACTCAACCATTACTAACACTTGGGTTGAAAAGACTATAGGTGTCAGTGAAACACAATCATATGTGGGCATAAATTAATATCAGAGACCAATGTTTTGATGACATTGAAAAAAAACAAATGAGCACCAATAACTGCTGTGTGACACATCCTCTGTGACATGGTGAGACTTGCAGTATCAGTACCGCCCTGCAGGACTAAGGATGTGATTTGTTCATGCTGTGAAACAGGCTTTGCCTCAGTGACAGTGAATCACATTCTAATTCCTGCATAATAAAGCTGAGTGACTCAGCAGCATTTTCAGTACAGTACTGCCTGGTCAATCACCCCATAGCATCAGTCTTCTGTTTGTCAGTTCAATAACTAGTTAAAATACAAACAAATTATGTCCTGATTAGTGCAGTAACTGTGTGGGTAAGAAAGTGCCATAGTTGATTGCAGTGCCTGACCCTCAGGCGCCTCAGCCGAGGTGATCAGTATCTCTTAGTATGGGCAGGCAAACTGAGAGATTCTTAGTGTGAACCGTTAATTCCCCAAAATTTTAATAACTTAAAGTATAGCGGAGGATTTTCATGAATTTTTTAAAAAACCACCCTTTCCACTTAAAAAAAAAATGCACAAGCACAACCCTGTACCCGCTCCCAAGAGGGAACCCTTATTTAAACGCATGTGAGAGCATGCACAAGCCCATTTCTCCTCGTGTACACTCTGTTCAAAAGTTGCTGTTTGCATCGCTCATACAAGCTCACTTCCAAAAGAAGATTTGCAATTTTTCCACTATTTCAGTGGAACTCACCACCGGTTAGTGAAAATAGGAATGAGCACGTAGGACGGCCTTATGTAAACATATCACCAGAATGATTGACAATTAGGAGGAACACTTATTTTGATGACCCACCTGGAAAAAGAATATCCTCTACTACACCTTTAAAATAATTAAAACAATTCAACACCATGGATAAAAACATGAAAAATTAAGTAAATTGAAGAAGAAGGTAGATGAAAGCATAGAAAGTTGAATTTAAGAAACTTTACATTTCCAACTGTCCATGGTTGCAAAACATTGAGGGGTGGTGTTTGTCGTTGGGCAGAGGCAGACCATTAAGAAAACAGCAATTGCTGCTGCAGAATCGGCATCTGTCTTTTCTAGAAAAGCCACGTGCCCTTTGCCATTTTTGGATCTCACCACTGCTGCAACATTATCATCTATAATCAAAGATAATGATTGAAGCAGCCTAGCTGATATTTCCCTTCAGGATGGTGTTCCAGACTAACATGAAGAGACCAGGTGAAGCTATTATGATGAGAAACAGCAGAGAGAACATAAAGTCAGAGGTTGAACTTACAAATGCTGCAGAGTGGGAGAATAGAGAATTATGTAAATGGGGTCCCTATGTCCTCCAGAAGTCTAAGCCTAAAGCAGCATAACTATAGAGATAGCTCAGAATAAGCTGAGCCACTCTGACTATAAGCTTTATCAAAAAGGAACCTTTTAAGCCTACCTGTAAAAGTAGACAGGGTGTCTGCCTCATGGACTAAAACAGGTAGTTGGTTCCACAGGAGAGGAGCCTGATAACTAAAGGATCTGCTTCCCATTCTTTTTTTAGAAATTCTAGGAACCACTAGTAAACATGCAGATTGAGAGCGAAGTGCTCTGTTAGGAACATTAGGAACAATCAGATCTCTGATTTGAGAAAGGGCTTGGTTATGAAAACCAATGAAGAAAAACAGACAGGAGAGATATAACCTCTTTTTTTAATTTTCATCTGAACTCTGGCTGCAGCATTTTGGATCAGCTGAAGGTTTTCAACTACAGTTTGTGGACTTCCTGATAGTAAAGAATTACAATAGTCCAGCCTTAAAGTAACAAATTCATGGACTAGTTTCTCAGCATCACCCCATGACAGGATATTTCTAATTTCTGCGATATTCCGCAGATGAAAAAAGGAAATTCTAAAAACTTCTTTGATATGGGATTTAAATGACTGGTCATGCTCAAAAACAACACCAATATCAGTGTAATCCCATCCAAATGAAGTGACTGACTAATCAGCTTCTTTTTCAAAGACTCTGGTCCAAAGACTATAACTTCTGTTTTGTCTGGATTCAGGGGCAGGAATTTAAGAGTCATCCAGGTTTTTATGTCTTCGAGACTTTGTACATTTAAAATGTATGATCTAGACTAACGGTTATACTATGTGTCTCTCCTTTTAGGAAGGGTGGAGACTCTGGCTCATAGGGTCCCAGAGGGAGGCTGGTTCGAACTGGTTTCATGCCCACATTACTTCGCCGAGCTGCTTATTTACATCTCACTGGGCTTTGTTCTTGGCAGATTCTCTGTCACCTGGTGGTTCGTCATCCTGTATGTTCTCTTCAACCAGGCACTTGCAGGACAACTTTGTCATGATCTTTACGTCAGCAAGTATGATTCCTACCCTAAGCACAGAAGAGCATTTATTCCTTTTGTGCTCTGAGAGCTATGCAGCAATAAATGATAATTGGACTTGGATTTATACCTGTTTTATACATGGCCTAACAATTGCTTATTTACAGAAAAGATGTGAAACAACAACCGTTGACCAAAACATCATTAAAACCACAGAGCTTTAAATCATTAAAGCATGAAAGGGATCATTGAGGGGAAAAAACAGTCCTCTCTTATAAGAAAAGAAAATAAGGAAAATTGATGGCTAAAAATCATAATGTTGACAATAACATTTTCTAACCTCAGAGACTTGAAACTCATCACTCAAAATAAACCATCTGAAATAACAGTGGAACCTTACAAAAACTTTTCACCAATTATAAGTGCTGGATTACTCTTCTGCCTTTTTTCTTAAAAATGTAGTAGACAATTTTTCTGTTTAATGTTCATATTATCCATTGGTTTTCCCACATGCCAGTCTTTGTGTTTGTTTCCTCTTGCTGCACATGCACACTTCTGATGTTCATGTATCCCCCGAGATTTGCTTTCAGCCATTCATTGTGGCTCTACTGCTTTAAAAATTTCTGACAGTCACAAGACCTTATCTGTCTTACATGTTTGTGAGAAAAAGAGAAAATCCTCAGTAGAAGATAAGACCAGAGGATATGCGGGAGATTCTTAAACATAATAGAGAAACTGCATGTGCAATTTATTGAAAAAAACAACTTGGTTGTTGCTCACATAGATTTCTGGAAAATGTTTCCACTATTCGTTGTTTCTTGTCCTTACTTTTGTTATATGAATTATTTAAATAAAAAATAGAAAAAAATGATTTCTGGAAAAGTCTTGATCCATACAAAAAAATGACCTGAAATATTAGAGTAAGTGGGCCAGATCCGAATGCAGAGATTCATGGTCCTGAGAAGTAAACATAAATTTATTTTCCTTTAGTATTTTTAAACTAAATCAAATTATCTGAAATTCCATGTTTTGATTTTCTCTTATACCAAACACATGGTATAATGCTGATTTATGTAATACTCCAGAATTACATAATAGTGCAATAAGTAAGGCTTAAAAAAGATTCCAAACTTTTAATATAAATCAATATACATTTATTAACTAGTATGTTATTGATCCTAAACTATTTAGTCTTTTAACTGTATTCAATAAGCTAAAATAACATTTTTGAGAAACTAATGTTTACATTAGTACAAGTGACTAGCCTTTTAGAAAATAAAAATATTCAGGCTCAGAGCACACATTTGCTGTTTTAAATAAGATGTCATAAAATGTTCATAGATTTTTGGATCTACAATTTTCAAAAACTCTTGGATCTACAAGTGGGGCAGTGCATTCTGCTCTAGGAGGTGTTCAAGCTTCATTTTCTGAAAAAAAAACAATGAAATGCTACTGAATGTTCTTAAGATGGAGCTCAGAGACAGCAGGAACAACAGCTTAGGTCTTATGGGTTACAATAACTGCTGTCAAAAGGGTGAAACCAGAATACAAGTCTTTGTGGGACACAATGCTTCAAATGAAAGGTTAAATACAACTCTTATAAAACTGTGGCTAATAAAAGAGTTTTTTATGAGTTTGGAGTGGATTTCTGTTTAATCTAGACCTGCATACTGTGCTTGACAATACTTGTTTTTAGGTTAAACAGAAAGATATATTTTGATTTAGTCTCTACAGTGGATCTGCCATTTCATGGATAATGTTAAATCCTCAAATACCTTTTTTTTTTTTATACAGAAATTCATAAAAATTTCAGGATTCATCAAATGTATTTTCCAAACTCCACAGATTGTGCTTCTAAGCATGCATTCTGGGTGCATGCAAACTCTTTATTTACACTTCTTCAAAATAAGCCCTAGGTCAGAGAGCTCTTAGTTCATTATCATTGACCTGTCATGTGAAACCGAAGAATAAACTGGGCTGTCGGGGTCATATAACAGTGACGCTGTAAGAGCTGGTGTATGGAAACAAGAGAAGCTGGCCTTTCAGTCCAGTCTGTTTGAGCTGCACAAACTATACAGTCTTGGGTGAATCTAAAGAATATCAACATAGGAATCTACAATGTCCTAGAAATATGAATATTGATGCTTACCTATTTAAATGCTATTTCCCTTTAGTAATAAAGGCATTTGATTTATGACAGTAAAGTATAAGATACAGACGTCTTTACAGTTACTAGTAGTATAGACCATATAGAATTTATCAGCATATTTTGGGGTATTTTTTTGTTGTGACAACAGTATTTAGAATGTAATAAAGCATGATTTGCCTATGAATGTTTAATTTATACAATTAGAGCTCTTATAAGCACAATTCTGTACAAAGAATTCAAAGTGTTTTGCATAAATCAAACAATGAAATAGAAGGAAAATAAAAGAAAAACAGATAAAAAAACAAACGTGCATAAAACAAAACAGTTGGACCACAGACTAATGACATCTCAGTTAACAGTTTAACGATCAAAAGGAGATAAAAAAAAAAATGTTTTTTTTTTTTTTTTTTTTACTTTGACCTAAAAAAAAAACTCAGGCTTTCAGCACTTTTCCAGTCTTCTGGGAGTTTGCTCCAGATCAGTGGAG